CTTACAATTTTTGAACCGGATAGACAAAACTTCTTCGTTTCCCTCTTTCTTTTGATCTAAACCTAATCGATTAGTAACAACAATAGAAATGAGTATGAAAATAAATTTTCTCCTTTTTTTTCTTTATGCACATGCATAATTATATTTATATGCTGTCCCATCGTCATCTATGCAGATTAGCGATCTGATGCAGCAGCTTCTTTATCATACGTAGCATATGTTTATACTAAAAGAATTTTATTCTAGTCTATTCATTTGTTTTTCTTATTTTGATTAAAAATATTGTCATCATTGTGTTAGATTTTATCTATTCAGTTCTTATGCAAATGCACTATGACATAGAACATTGTTGTGGTACCACAATAGACAAATACTTTACTGTATGGTACTATATACATTCTTTTCAATCAATCATTTCTTTCTATTCATTTGATGTTTTACTCATGGGAAGTATCAAGAGATAATAACATCATAGAATTACTATGAAATTAATTACACGGTAGAATATATGAAAATATATATAGAAAATATTCTTTCTGTTCATTTCAATTTACTTGCCTGATTGTTTGTCTTGCATTTCTTTGCATATCAATTAGATTCATAGTAAAAGAAAAAAAAAAGGAATCTGAATAAACAGCAAGTATGATTTGAATAAAGTGCGAAAATGTCTAGTATGTATTATATTCAATAAAACAAAAAAAAAAAGAACATCACCAGAGCCAATGTCAATATATATATAAAATATGCACGTTTCAACCGATTCAGTTTTTTTTTTCTTTTTTAGTATATTTGTCATATTAAATTAACAAGATGACAACGTTAGGTTAATTAAATTTTTTCATATCTTCTTTTTTTTTTATTCTGATTTACAAAAAAAGGATACTGAAAAATTTATTAGATGAAATGCTACTTAATCAAACAAAAGCATCTGATTTATAGACAATCATATTATATTCATATTGAAATTGTGTTTTATGAGGTCTTTTCTGCATTTCTTTCGTAAAGCTTTCTATTCTTTCTCCAGGACATTTCTTTTCTAGATATTGATGGTTTAATATCCGATAAGCTTAAATGAGCTCCAAGATAAAAATAACATAAAAACCTTCTTTCTTTAGTTTTATATTCTACTCAACATGATGAGTATCAACGAGGTCGAATTCATTAACTTTAAATGAATTCTTTTTTCTTAATATATATATATATATATATCTAAATATACACCAATCTAAAAAGATTATTATTTAGTGAAGTCAAAAACACGTCTATCATTTTTTTTAGCCTACGATGATTTGTTTATTTGTTTTTGTTCGATCCTCATCCGGTTTCCTTTCTATTAGATTTTTTTGGCTTTTATTCTTTTTAAAAACTATCATGTTTTTTTTTCGACCTATGGCTTTTTCATCAAGGCTTATTAGCAAATATAGAAAATTTGAAGGAAACAATGATTAACATTAATACATACCTGACCGTCAAAATACACAGCAACATTTGGTTCGGATTTATAACGTGAATACGAGCACGGAGGAACAAGCAAATGATCACAACTATATGCAGGATATAGGTGTTGATTGTTATTATTATTATTGCTGTTCGGTGGCACCAATGATGTGCCACTATTTACAAACATCGTCGAATAATTGTTTCGTCACTTGAAGATGAGCGTATGCATACGAGTCTTGAATATTTCCTGTTTCAGCTTATGAGAAAAAATGATATTGAGCACAAGGTTTTATTCGAATATTTCTACAAGGCATAACAAAACAGGATGTGAATAATATTAATTAAGCAAAAAGAAAGAAAATAAATACAAAATGCTCAACTACAGTTAGCAATTAGTCGAATGCCTTTATTTGCTTCAAATATTATAACTTCTTCTACTTTTTTCTTGCTTTGAGCATGTTTTTTTTTTCTACTCTTTGCTTTAACTAGTTTGATATATCACGCATGTGGTGTCATTCATTTGTTCTTCTCGGATATGAACAGTAAATCACGTTCCTATTCGCCGTATGCACTTCTATTAATGACTTTTGATGCATCATTTTAAAAGAAACCAAATTTCTAAAGAATACACAAGAGAGCATTTTCTTCATTCTGAGATTCTAACTATTCTTGAGAATGATAAAATTGCCTATTTCTATTTAGTTTCATGGTCATTGTATTACTGTCCTCATTTCTTTTTTTCTATCTATCTTATCATACCATTGTGCAACCCACTAAGACAAGTAGTTCATGAGTGTCTCGTTTGTCTTTTCTTTTGATATAAAAATCGGAAATTACGAAATAGATGGAAGTAAAAGAGAAGAAAGAAAAGAATGTCTAATGCTTTTCTTTTTCTGATATGCTATTTGTGATGCATAATCGCCTTTGATCAACTAATAAACAACACCTCTCAAATATCTTCATCCTGGACTCTATAGTATTCGTTCATAATTCAAGGATTTTGTTGTTTAGAATATTTTCTTTCATATAAATAATAATTATAGCAAAGTTCAATAATAGAGCAATTTGGTGAACTTGTTTTTCATCACTAGATTATGATGAGCGGTTCGAAAAGACTAATACCTAGAATAGAGTAGCAACAAAAAGAAGAAAAAAATATATTAGGTCATGCAAATAGAAGAAAAAACGACATATCATCATAAAATCTTTTTTTCTTTTTACTCTTCTATGAACTTCACTGTCGACAACTAAAAAAAACCTAGAGAAAAAAAAAAGAAAAAAACAAAGCAGGATAAAAAGCGCATTTTTAATTAGTGTTCAACATGAATCTGAATGGTAGCTGAAGGACAAAAATGATAATTCATTTAATATGCATGCTCTAGGTGGAGATGGACGACACCTCATATATTTTTAAAATGATTATTTTTCTTCACCATTATGATATTGCTGTCATCTTTGTAGAATAGATACATCTTTAATTACTTAACTTTGATAGTTTTAGTCCTATAGAAAAAGAATTTGTTGAGAAAAGCAAAAACTTATATTTGCTATTTCTTTCAATTTCGTGGTGGAATCAAGAATATGTCTTTTTCTATTTTTAATAACATCAACAAGTGTTAAATAAATCCGATTTTCTCGATTCTATTCGTACTATTACAAGTTTTTCCAGGAAATCCCTTTACATAATATATAGAAAAGAAAAATATTTATAGCAATCAGTTCATTTATCAATGGTAAATGTTATTGAAAAACAAACTAACCAAATTCATAAAAAAAAAACAAGAAGATATCCAGTTTTGATTCTATTCCTACATGGGAATATGAAATATATTTATACTTCTATGAAACTCAAGTATATTTTCGAAGAAAATACTAAGCATAAGTTTTAAGTCGAAGTTTTATAGATTCATCTTAGACCTTAAGTCAACCGAGAGCAATAGACGTTAGCAACGGAAAAAAGACGCTGAATGACAAGACTTCGAGTGTTCTAGAATATTTCAAAACTTTTATTGAAATTTAAATGTTTAGAATATGCTTGTGAATATTCTAAATAGTGCACTTTCTAATTTTTGTGTAGATAAAAATTTATATTCAAGATCTCAACAATGATGAGTAGTGTTACATCAATTTGTTACAATCATCATATGATTAACATAAAAAACGGACATTGATGAAGTTACAACTTTAGACAATAATCAAAGCTAATCGAGATATATAATAGTACGCTGAGACCTACTGCAGATATAATAGATATGTACAACAAGCTTATTTGTCAGTTACATCAATGGTTAAAATAATAAGAAGAAAGACGGAATACGGAAAAGGAAAATCACGAGTGAATAGAACAATAAAATCCATAAAAAATAGAACATCAATGGAAAAAAAAGAAAAAAGTTGATTAGCATAGTTCCTTTGGAACTGAAATGTGGAACTCACTTTTATATTATTTTGCCTCATTATACTAATACAAAATGCGCAACGTGAAAAATTTTTCATAGACTACAATTGTTTTTCAAGGATAATCGGTTGTCAGAGAAATGATCCGTCTTATTTATGACTGCATTTCGAGCAGAATTTTTTTTTTCTATATTTTACTGACGCTCTATTTTTTGTTTGCGTCGTTTCTATTCACTTGTAATATTTCTTTTGCGTAGTATGGTTTTCTTATTATTATTCTACCCATTGATTTAACTGACAAATAAGCCTGTTTTACATATCCATTATATCTCTACAGTAGGTCTCAATACACAATTATATATCTTGATTAGCTCATAAGCATTGATATTGATTATTTCCTAAAGTCATAGCTTAATCAGTTCACGCTTTTTATGTTAATCATATGACAACGGTGGTAAATCAGTGCATCACTATTCATCATCCTTGACATCATGATTATAAATTTTTATTTGCGCAAAAATCAGAAACTGCGCTATTAGAACATCTGCTAGTATATTTTAACCATTCAAACTTTAACAAAAGCTTTGGGATGTTCTAGAATAGTTGAAGTCTTGTCGTTTAGTGCTTTTTTTCTGTTGCTAAGGAATTCTAGAGAAAGAGTCCGACGCCTGTTGTCCTGGGTTACTAAGGTCTGAAGAATAGCCATAAAATTTTTGTTCGATATACAGAAATAAATAAGAATTTTTTTTTCTGACGATCGATTATCCTTGGAAAACAATTAAAGTCTGCTCGGGATTTTTCACTTGACGTATTTGCTATTAATCAAACTAAAGAACATATGCGAATAGCACAGTTCAGCCCCAAACGGGATTGTACTGACGAGTTTTTATCAATGAATTTTTATTTTATAAAGCTAAACCTTTCATTAAAAAAGAACAAAAACAATATCTATATTTATCTTAGCTAAAATGATATATTCGAACAAGTGTTGATGATTGTAAAAAGTTATATAGCATTGTTGATATCAACTATTAATCATATCAAAAATTCCTAATTATGTTTACTTGAATTACATGTTACACAGACTAAAAACTTGGAAAAATATTGAATCACTATATTGAAAATAAACGACGTTCTTTCGAATATAGGAAAAGAAAAAATAACTATAGAAAAAATTTTTCATATGGACGATTTAAACGTTCATATTCCGCTTTGACTTTATCCCATTGACTTAAAAGTTCTAATAATGATTTAAAATTTGGTCGTTGATTTGGTTCATACCATAAACATGGAAGAATTAATTGATTATAAAATTGATTTGAACATTTCAAAGGTTTCTTATGAATATATCCATTAAGTACAAGTGTTCGTATTGAAGCAAAATCTTTTTCATCAGGATAAGGATCATCACCTTTTAACCATATTTCAATTAATACAATACCAAATGACTAAACATCAGATTTTCTTGAATAAACTGTTTGATTATTAAGTACTTCTGCAGCTGTCCAACGACTAGATCATTTTTTTAAATCATTTTTTTTACGTTGTGCAAAATCATCTTTATTAACAAGTGCTGATAAACCAAAATCAGCTATTTTAATTGTATTACCTTCAGCACTTATTAAAAGATTTCTACAAGCTAGATTTCGATGCACACGTACTCTTTGTTCAAGAAATGACATCTCACGACATATGTCGTTTGCAAATGAAATTACAATCTTTTCATCAGGTATATTTTTAGAAGATCTCAACCAATTTTTTAAATCTCCAGTTTTCATTAATTCTGTTACAATTAATATTTCATTTGTTTGAAAATCTTGTGCAACACCATATAGAGCAACAATATAATTATTTAATGTTTTCATTGTTTCAATTTCTTGAATAAAACTTTCTATTGTTGATTTATCATGTCGTAATGAATATCATTTTTTAACTGCAATCGGTATTGAACGATCACCATTTTGACATAATGCACGTCATACTTCTCCAAATTCACCTTCACCTATACAATATTCAAATGTTAAATGACGTCTTGGAATATGCCATAGATCTTCTTCAAATTCAATTCGAAATGGTAATTTTATTGATAATGGTATAGTTTTTAGAACATTTTCATTATGAATAAGTTCATGAAATGATTTAAATAATATATGATTTAATTTTGATTCTTGTGCAAAATAAAATCAATGATTTAATGGATTAATACATATTAAATAATGCCAATCTTCAGCATTTTTTCGATTCAATATTTGTGCTGCACTTAAAACAAATGCATTAGATTCCGCATTACTTCGACGTATAAGATAAGCACCAGGTATGTTATATTGAAATAAACATCGTTGTATAACACCTCGATCAGTACTACCTAAACGTAATGATGTTTCAGGATCAAGTTGTAAACGTTTTTGATGTATTTTATATTCAATATTTGTACGTAAATGAATAACATGTAAATATTCTTCATCGATTTCCTCAATTAATTCAAATTTATCACCTTCATCATAAACAAATTGTCCTTTAATAGTTTTTGTATAACGAGCTATATAGATTGGTTTATATATTTGTACATAATTAGTTTTTTTATTGTTTATTGGTGTCAAATCTGGTGCTGATCGAGCTAATGTAAATTTAGCGTTTTTTTGTATTTTAGATTCTCTTGATGGTAAAACAAATCGAGTACAATTAATAAGTTTATTACATTCGATTCGAGTTAATGATGGGATGAATGCATGACGTTTATGAGAATTTTCTTCAGATAAAATATTACTATCATGACCCATTAGTAAATCTAAAATACCAAAACAAAATATCAGAAAGGTTTATTTTAATACAGAAAAAAAAATCATTTGCGTATGTGATTCTTACCTTGTTTAGGTTAATCAAACTTTTATACAATGGAATGGAAGGTAAGCAATTGATAAGAACTGAAAAAAAAAGAAAAGATACCTCTAGTAAGTAGATACAATGTCACTTATAAATATCTTTCTCGATCCTCTTATTTTTATCATTGTATTGTGTATATAACAAATAATTAAAATAAATGATGAAGATAACTGTCAAGGACAACGAATAAATAGCTTTATTTATATGTTTATTATAAAAAAATAAAAAAATACTAATAATTAAACCATCGACTCTTGAAGGAAGTTATGTTTTTCCAATATTTCTCTTTTGATCAATTGTAATATAACGAGTCATATATGGGCCATTTCAGGCCAACCACGACACAGTCATCTTTCATTTGACTTTGATTTTTTATCAGGATTATTTTATAGAATCAGTTCTTTTAATATAGACATATGTAAAACTGTTGGCTCTTTTAGTTGACTGTAAATTAAAATTAGTTATTTAATTAGCGAATATCTCTGTAACTATATGAGAAAAAAATTCAAAAACTTTAGAATAGACTCTACAGCACAAACTACATATATGGTCTTAAAAACTAGTTTTTTAAAGATCGTATTAAGTCCCGGAACAAAAACTTTTCTCTTATCATCATATAGAGATTCTGGAGAGGAATTTGTATCACTTGGAATTAATTTTGAACTTCTCATTTGATTATAAGAGTTATTTTTTGTTTGTAAATTCGTATTCCATCGCGTCGCTTACGCTAGATTGTTTTACTGACATCTCCTGTGAGCAAAGGTCTCTGCTGCTGATTTTTTCAGAGCATCTAGAGTAACTGAAAATACATGTAACGGAGATATACATGTTTTAATTTTGCGAACTTATGTTGCTAACGAATGATTTTGTTCATATATAGAAATTCCATTACAGAATTTCATAAGTAGTGATTTATATAAATTACAAAAATAATCCAAACAAAGATCAAAATATAAATGTTTAATAATATTAGATCTTGTTTTGTGCTCTGTTGAAAATCTAAGTGAAGCTTGTATTTGGATTTAATAAAAATTTTCTAATTCTATTGGCCTTGAGACTTAAATGAAACATGTTGTTTAAAATCATTTAACAATATTTCTTTGAGATTATGACGAAATCTTTTTCGTGTAAGAAAAGTATTAGAGTGAAAAAATTCTGCTTACTTTTGAAACAATGCAATTTTGAATTTGTAACTCTTTAAAAGAAATCGATTGACTTTAACAACTTTTTATTAAAAATTTTATTCATAACAAAAAAAAAAGACGAAAGTCGTTAACATATTTTCAGATCTTTTTTATAAACTAATCCGTATTAAATAGTTATTTCTTGAAATTTATGATGTACTGATAACACTTGAAATCAATGTTTTAATTGAATCTTTTCTAAGTTAAGCATATCATCAAGTTCTTTATTTATTCTTATCCAATATTCATTTTAATCATTGTTTCATAAATGGCTTTTTTTTATGATTAAATTGATAAATATAAATAAAAACAAATTTAATTTCACATATATATCTTTAAATATAGAAAAGTATACAATATATTTGATAAAATAATCAATGCTAATAGAAGAAAAACATGTTTACTTTTTATAAATTCATCACGAAAGATACAAAAACAATCATGACAAACGTGAATATAAACTACTAGATCATCCTATATTAATACATTGAATATGAAATAATAGTGTGGCATATCCATAAAATTTTATCAATTATTTCTAATAATAATGAGTAGATCAAAGTGTATGAATATAACCTTGATTCTTTTTCATCTCTTAATGGTCATTGCACCATTATTTTGTAAAAATGTAAAAGAATAACTCATACAATATTTATATTGATGACGTAGTAGAAAACCATCTTGAATGATATAAGTTTAAATTGCAAAATTCTACAAGAACAAGTTCAATAGCTAATCATGTATTTAATCGCATACTTGTATAATCCAAAAGTATAACAACATTAGTTTGTATTATATGACATGCAATAAAACAATAAGAAGAAGACGAAGCTTGAATGCATTTATTATATTCTCTACACCATAGTTAATATTCATAATCACATATCAATTATTGTAATTAAACCTCCACAACAATAAAGTGTTTTGAAGAAAAAATATCATCATTTATTAAACTTATATTATTTAACAAAAAGAAAAGTTTGTAAACAATATATATTATCAATCGATGACATCAGGAATATAAAAGCTATATTGATAGATTCAAACATAAACCTATTCAAGATTGTTGAAAATTCAGTGATTTAACTGAAATTTACATCATGGATATTGATATGTATCATTTAGTAAATGTTGACGACCGTTGAAATAAAAATCTATACATGACACTCTGTTAGAACTTTTCACTTGATGAGACATTATTAAATATGTAACAAAAATTCGACGAATAATATTTACTAAAAAAAATGTTTTTTTCTTTTATGATAATTCTGTGAAATTATTCTATTCAAAATGCAAAAGACGAATATAATACGAATTATTTTTTGAATAAATATACATAATTAAAATGAAGCAATGACATGTAAACTTATATCGATTTTATAGATTATTTAATTGATAAAAGGACGTAAACAATCTTTTTTTACAGTCGAATAAACAAAGATGAAAATATTATATGGTTTTTTTTTTTCTATACTATTATACAAATATTGATAGAGAAAAGACTTTTAAATTAGATGAAATATGATTTTTTTCTATAATACAATGAAAATATTTTGCTATAAAGTAAATAGAATGAATACTCATATTTCTAAGTATAAATTCATTACTTAAATTAGTAAAATTAAAAAATACAAAAAACTTTAGTAGGAGATGTTTAAAAACTAAAATAAATTCAAATTCATTTGAAATAATATTTTGTTTCTAGATTCCATCGAAATAATAATGATTAATAAAAATATGAATAAATTGACATGCAATGTATATTTGATTTTCATAATGAGGTTTTGATTATTAAAGTACTCCCTCCCCCCACATAATTTGTATGAATTTTACCTGTCTGTTTTTTTATCCATAAAAATCGAATCTTTTCTTTTTTATTTTATAGATTCAATAAATATTATGATATAATAAGAAAAACAGTAATAGATGACATAAGATTAATAATTCTGTTATTGAAACAGTAAAGCAAAAATTTGACCGATATAAGAAATATATAATTTTACGAATAGATTTATTAGTAATACGATAAAATTTATACATAACTATAATATAAATATGTTATTGACTATTAACTATTAGATGTTGCCAATTGAAATCAACTACGGTAAATTGTATTTTATTTTATTGTAGAAATAACTGATATTAAATTTTCTCTAAGTATATAAAATTTATAGAAAGATTAAATAACATCTTTTCGTTGACAATAATTTATACATCTTACTATCAAGATTCTTGTTTCTTTTTATCGATTTTTAAATATTCACTTGAAAAATACATTTTCAATGGAACTGTTTATTTTATTAGAAAGAAAAACGAATTACATTTAATTTTAAAATGTATATAAAAAAGAAACTGATATTATTAAAAACCATTTCATGAATCTTAATTGCAGATTTTTTGAACAACACTTTGAAAATGGGATTAAACTTCTTTTTTTTTTCTTGACACCAAAAAATAGTATTATACTTAACATGAGTTTGACATTGTCCTATAACTATTTAAAGATAATTTGTAAGAAAGTTAATATTTATTTATAAATTAAAGACAAGAAATTTTTCTTTATTTTTTTTTGTTTTTCTTGGAAAAAAAAAGTAACTAAACATATGGACGTATCTCGTTAATAATATTATTGTCTTTAAAAAGTTAAAGAAAAAAGAAACCAAAGTCATTAGATATTTACCATCGAGTAGATTCCGACAGTTTGGCATTTTTTTATCATACTTTCTCTTTCTGTCAAATATCTTTATAGAATTCCTTTTTCCCCTTCATTTCTATAAACCAAATGTCATAGAACAGGAAAACACAATAGATCGCCCCCTCACCAAATAATAGTCATTCATCAAAATAAACCATATTGTCTACAAAATGAGCATCTACAATAAAGTAATCATAAACATCTATGCTTTTTATGTTGCAAAAAAATAAAATCGATGTTTTTCATCGTTGACATGCGTTAAACTAATGCTTTTATTGTGGTGTCTGTGTGTGGCTGTTGTATTTTGTCCATCGATGTTTTTTTTCTTCTCTATTTACTTAAAATGTGCACGAGAGAAAAAAATAATAAATCAAGAATTCGTTAAATTTTTATGTATATCTAATGTATTTATTTTATTTCCATTGATTGATAGATCTAATATAGAATAGTATAAAATAGAACATATTTCAAGTATATATAAATTTTTTGTTTTTTCTTGATTTAAAAATTGGAGAAATGCATAGTCAAAAATAAACATAAAGAAAAAGATTTTAAATCAATTTTTCTCTTTCCGTCCTTTTTATTTATTTCACTCTCTCAACGGACAATGGTTTTATTGGAAGGTGGGTAGTTGAATGTGGGAGTGAAATAAGGAATATCAACAAAAAAATAGAGCGAAAAAAATAGAATTCAGAAAAGTGCATGCTCATAATACTGCTCTTCATTCAAACAGTGCGTGATTGACAGGAAGTTGAAGTGACCTATCATTACAAACATCTATACACAAAGAAACGTAAATGATAGGTAATATATATTATAATAGTATTGTAGTCATAGAGAACTTTATAGAATACTTGGGTTGAAATTATTTTATTGAAAATACAAACATATATTTTTATCTTTTTGTTATTAGTTGAGATAACTGTTATGTTATAGAATATCTTTTGTTGAAATGTACGATTGTGTAAGAAAGCTCGTTTTCATAATATTTTTTTTTTATGGTAATATAAAATATTCTATTGCGTATTCAAAAAAATAGCATGAAAACTTATAAATTCCATGAATTCGATACAATATATATATATATATATATATGTATAGCATTAGTGTTTTCGTCTGGAGAAAAATTTCTTCTAGTTTAAAAAAAGTACAAAAAACATATGAGTTCATTGAAGTCTTATCAATGTCAAACATACGAAGAAGACTTACATTGACGTCAACAATAGAAACTGAATATTCAGATTTCTTTTTTTCTCTCTCATTTCTCTTCTTTCTATTTTTTTTTACAGCATCATCTATCGTTGATGTGATCCTTATCGTATCTCATGCAATATTTTCTAAAAGAAATGTTTAGTTTTCCTTTTTTTTTAACATTCATACTCATTCAGCGGATAGCAGCAAGCTGTCTCACACGTTTAGCACACCTTCCATAAAAACGACGACGATGACGATGACGACTATGTCACAATAGAAAGAGAAAAGGAAATTTCGATTGCATCTATATAGTCGTTCCATTTATATATATATATATATATGTGTGGGGGAAATATCATAATTTCCCTAAGATAATTATTAAAATAAACTGTGTGCATGTCATGATAATTCTGTAAAATCAAATTATTGATTCGTATTTTATTTATTTTAATGAATACTTTTTTAAATATTGATTTTTATATTTAGTTTAAAATTGGTCGAAAAATGGCATCAAGATCATCAGTTCAAATTAATTCCTTACATACATCAAATCGTACAACAGAATCACCAACATTAAACAATCATAAAACTAATGAAAGTGACACTGTTTTAGTAGCTAAAAAATTTAGTTGTGTTAGCTTGGTTGAACGTGAAGAACGACAACAAGCACTTGATCGTTTAGAAATTCTTAAAACAGTAAGAAAACATTGTATTTTCTTTATAATTTTATAATGAACATGCAAATAAACAGTAACACAAAGAGAATAAAACTGAAAGGAAATCAAACGTTTTTTGTTTCCGTGCGTTTTTCATATTCTTATTTTGAAGAATTTATTTATATACTTTAGCTAAGGATCCTTTATAGTTGAATAAGTTTTTTAGTATCATTTTAGTATAAAGTCAAACGTGACTTTTCACTTGAATAAAGATAAAAGAAAAAAGTTGTTTTTTTGTTTTTGAAAAGCATTTAATATCAAATAGATTATTGGTCGAGGTTCATTGAATTATTCAATTAGAAATGAATTCATAATGTATATATTGAATAAAATCTACTTGTTTTGTTTTTTTCTTGAATAAATCAAATCTTGACAACAATATTTTTCAATTGTCTATCGATCGTATTCATATTTTGATTGATGTATTCTTTTATCTAAATATTTTATAATAAATGTCAAATTCAAGGAAAATTAAGTTTGCCCTTAAAAAACATTGAACGTTTCTATATACAATTGAAACAGCTAACGTTACTAAGGACATTAATTGGAATAAATATGAGCAGCTTGTTGATAATATCGAGATCTAGTTTGTTATTTTAATTAACGTTAGTCATCTGTTTAAAAAGAGATATTTTTAAACGTAAAGATCGGCTATCATATGTTATAAAGAATTGAGTACTTTTTCTACATCTTTAAGAATAAATTATAGTCAATCTAAATAGCGGATGAAGATCGGATGTGCCTTATTGAGTAAATTACTAGGTTTTGATTATTGATAAAAATTAGTAATGAATTCAAATTGATCAAGAAAATAAAAATAGGTCATTCTAAGCTGTTTTTTTTTTATTGTCTAATTGATGAGAATCGCACTCAGTAACTTTTTCATCTGTAATATTTTAATTACTACTAATGATAGACATAAAATTAATAACCTGTTTAGACATACCAATTTTATCCGCTTTGTATTAGACATGCAACAAGAATTTCCTCTTTTTTTGTTGTTCTATTTCCGTATGTTGAATATTCTCAAGATATAGAATGTGTCAGAATGTAATCAAAACCTCAGATTTATAAAGTAATTTATTTTCTACAGGATAAGATGTCCGTACAATTTATATGATTTATTGTTTCAATTTCATTACAGTGTCATGGTGATCTGAATGCCTGTTTAGTCGAAATTCTCTATAAAACTGCAAGCAAAGATTCATTGTAAAAATTGTACTGCTGCCTTATCTTGTAGAAAAGTATATGTTTTACAATTCTACACTTTAAAAGCATGTCTATAAGCTTTTCCCTCTAGTGATTTATATTAGTTCTAAGAAGAAGAAGAAGAAGAAAACTGAGTTTTCATTCTTGACGTATGTCGAATTTAAATAATTATTTTAATTGAGATTTTTACTCTACATGTCCCTATAAAGCAAAATTCTTTAATCAATTTCAACTTTTCATTTTAGTTTATCTATCGTTGACATACTTGAGATTTTAATGACAGAGTTGAATTTTATTAACAAAAAAAAATAATAATAATGATGAAGAATTCGATTTCATTTTTTTAGGTTGGTACTGGTTCATATGGTCATGTTGTTGTTGCTCGAGATCGTGACACATCTAATTATTATGCATTAAAAATATTTACTATTAATCATGTTGTACAATCACGTCAAGTAAAATATTATTTAAAAAAAAATATATAAATTATTGATTTTATTTGTAGACTGAACATGTCAAAAGTGAAAAAGAAATTTTATCAGTTATAAAACATCCATTTATAATTCGTTTATATTGGACACATCATTCCGAACAATTTCTTTATATGCTTCTTGATTATGTACCTGGTGGTGAATTATTTACTTATATGAGAAGAAAAGTAATATTTGATATTAAATCATCATTATTTTATATAAGTGAAATAACACTTGCATTTGAATATCTTCATTCATTACAAATTGTTTATCGTACGTTGTTTTTTTTTTCTAAAGAAAAACATTTTTATTTTTTTATTAAAAAAACAAATAGGTGATTTGAAACCTGAAAATATTCTACTTGATGCTGAAGGTCATGTTAAAATTGTTGATTTCGGTATAGGAGATAAAAACTTATCATAGTACATATATATGTCTTTTTTTTTATTATAATAGGTTTTGCAAAGAAAATCTTAAATAAAACATTTACTACATGTGGTACACCAGATTATTTAAGTCCAGAATTATTTAAAGGTACAGGACATAATAAAAGTACTGATTGGTGGAGCTTAGGTATTTTATTATTTGAAATGCTTAGTGGAGGTAAGAAAATAGAATAAAAAAAAAAAGAAATTCTTTTCGAAATATTAATTTTGTTTTTTGAAATTCTTAGCAACACCATTTAATCCAAATCAAAATGAAAGTGAAATTCCCAGTCGTGTATTAGCTGGTAGAATAACATGGCCTCGGACAATAGATGACCAATCAAAAGTATTTATTAAAAAATTATTAGTTCAAAATCCTGACAAACGTCTTGGTGCTGGTAGAAATGGTTCACGTGAAGTAAAAGAACAGCCATTTTTTGCATCAATTAAATGGGAAGATGTTTATGCAAGAAAATTAAAACCACCTATTGTACCTACTGTTCAACATGCAGGTGATACATCATGTTTTGATCAATATAAAGAAGATTGGCGATCAGCACCATTTGCATCGGATAAAGAATTGGAATTATTTGCCGATTTTTAATAAATCGAGAAACATGTATTTTTATTTTTATTTAATTTTGTTTTTATATGTATATGCAAAACCAGTGAACAAAAAAACAAAATATATATATTTATGTAAGGGGTGTTCCAGAAGTTCTGAAACAATTTTAAAATTCATTGTTCTTGCATTCAATAAAAACAAACTCGGTGAAACTTTATCGTATCTACTTACAAGGGAAGTCCTTCAAATGATAAATCGCATTTGACTCGAGACTATGTGTATTATGTAGATTCAAAATGAGTTATGAATACCCTACAAAGAGTTCATGTCCTTAGGTCATTGTTACGGAGATACTGCACTTTTATGATATCTTTTAAATGAATGCTATGGTAACAGAAAAACTTATTTTCAAATTTCAACTTGAAACTTTGTACAGATATAAAAGATACCCTATTGCCATAATTGTATCTAAGGATTAGAATAGGGACAAGATCTGAAACTTTCACAGGAGATTATTCTTGTTAAGACTCGTCTCTATGAAAAGTTTCAACTCGAAATTCGAAAATCAGTTTTTCTATCTCTGAAGCAATAAGCTAAGAGCACAAATTCTTTTCAAAGTATTCATAACTCATTTGGGTCTACATAATGCATATAGATACGATTTAAAACCGATCTATCTATCATTTGGAGAATTCGCTCTTAAGTAGATAAACTCAAGTTTTGCAGAGTTTGTTTTTGTTGAATACGAGACGAATGAATTTTTAAATCGCTTCAAAATTTTCGGAGACATTCCTTATAATATTGAAGTTTTCCATTAAAAAACAAAATTTAACTATGTTTTTTTTAACGAAGTTTTATTTGATGTTATTGACATTTGAGCTTTTTCATTTAAACGTTTGATACTATTAGTTGTTTGAGCATACCAATTCTATTAATTTGATACAGTTAAATAGAATGTACTTATCTATTTTGATTCTTACTTTTATTTTATTTTCTTCATCAATAAAAACAGGAATTTTTGTACCGAGTATAGAAATAAAATCATTTGCTGTACAAATTTTATTTGAATATTTATTTTCATGTTTAATATTAATCACTTGATTAATTGTTTCAACAATTTGTCCAACTGTATAACCATTTGATATTGATGCTAGAATACTTAATTCAACATCATTAATATTCATATTATATTTTTCAATTAAAATTTCATAAAAAGTTTCTATAAATAATACAAACAAAAAAAAAAGATAATGCTTTGCTTTTCTTCATTGATAAATTGATTTTTACTGCGTCTTGATCCATAATTTGGTCGTGGAAATAAAATAATATGTTCATAGATTTGTAATAATGGTTTTATTCGAGCACGATATGGTTGAGATGATATACCAATAAACATGATTCGTTGACCGGGTTTAATTGTTTTAATAAATTTACGTATGGTACGTTTGAATCGATTTGGTTCAAATATTTTTTCTTGTGGTGTTAGTTTTTTCGAGAAAAGTAATTCTATATCACGTATCATACAAAGAACTGGAGGCATCACTAATACAAGCTATGATGAGAATAGAAATAAAAAAGATGTTGAGTAAATAAAGAAAAAAACATCATACTCGTTTAATCATTGCAAAAAGCACTTTGAGCCCACCAGCTAAAACAAATAATGTTTAATTTTATATTGTTCTTTTTTTTCTATGCTGTGTTTGCATACTATTTCAAAAACGAATAAAGTATCATTTTAAATAAATGTCCTCATAGTTTCATCTAGAATTTTATCCTTAATAAATTTTTAATCCGATGATATTATATATTATATATTATATTACAGAAGAGTTGTCTGTTATAAGAAGAGTATCATTTTTCTATATATGAGATACGACAGTAAGGAATGCACGTTTTCAACTGACCAATCGCTTTCTCATCGAAAGCTAGTGGATTGTAGGTCAGTCGAATATAATCATAAGAGGTCAACTTAGGTCTTCATGTGTTATTTTCTTAGACAATAATTTTTTCGAACTAACAAATTTTTTTTCGAAATATTCTTTTTGATGTATCTAAACTATAGAACATATCAAATCATCTAGAAAATAGTAATTTCTTCTGTTTCATATTCTTTTTCTTTGTCAAAAATTCAACCATTTCATATCACACAGCAGATACATATCTATATTTCAATGTGGAAATCTTCAATATGATATTATTTTACTTAAAACTCATTATTGAAAAACAGAAAAGATTATTGTCTTATAGACAACTCGATATGCTCTAGAATCTGAATAAATCAAAAGTGACTGTGGTAAATTTTTTGTTAATCTGGAAAACGAGTATATAAAGACTTAAGCGAATATCTTATGATGGTATTCAGAATCAGCATAGTCGATTACTCAAAATGCAGTAGTTCTTGGTGAGAAAACGATTTGATCCATTGAAAGCGTTGCTTCGTAAACAGTTTGTTAAAAAAAAATAAATTTCTATTAAAGGCTATGAACGAAAATAATCATTATAGTAGATTTTAATATACCGGTATTAAATGATTTGGCAATATTTGCTAGTGATAGATCTAATAGAAGACCACCCAATTCATTACATGCAATATGCACAAGTAATTCTTTACCACTACCACGTGGTCCAGCAAGAAGTACGGCTTTTCGTAGTGGTATATTGAGATGAACATTTTGTGAACCTGTCTTTATAAAAAAAAAAGTGCACAAAAAAAAAATAGAATATTTATTTATATGATTACACAGAGGAAAAATAATTTGTAGAATAACAAGTTGTTGACAATCGAGTAAAGATGGCATTGGTTCTTTTTCATTATAACGCATTGTTTCAGTTAAATATTGATAATCGCCAATAAAATCTTGTTGATGAACTAATTTTGTAGGTAAAATAATTCCGGTTTCAACAAGTTCTTCAAAGATTGAATCATTTGTTCTACATTAAAATAATGAACTTAAATAAATGATCAGAAAGAAAATATATCTTACCTATTAGCAATAATATCTTTAACTTTTTTGTTTCGTTTTTTTCTCTTCTTTTTCTTTTTCGATTTTTTTGTTTGTTTATCTTCAGTATTATCAATTGCTAATTTCAGATAAATTAATTCATTACGAAGAATATTATCAACATCATGTCGTATTTCATTTTCAACTTCAGGTCGAAAATGATCTATAGCTAATAATGTATCATAATGTTGTTCTTTATTATATGATTCATCTCGTTCATAGAATAATTCTTTATAGATATTCATTTGATTATTGATAATAGGAATAAATTTTGATGATTCTAATTCATTCATAGTCGATTTCTAGAACATATAAAATCATGAAAGAAAGAAAAAAGAATTAGTTTTTGTTTTTTGAATTACTTGTTTTGTTGACTTCTTTTTTAAGTTTTTTACTTGTTTTTTTACTTCTTTTCGCTTAGATTTTTTCTTTTTTAATGCTTGAGCTTGCTACTAAAAGTGAGAAGTTATAAAGATTATGTTCAAAAGAATATTTCTAGTGTATTTCTAGACCTTATCGATAAATTCTTGAACTTCAGCTACTGTCATTTCTTTAAAAAGTGTTGTTGAACCATTGAGTTCATCTGATGGATAAATAGGAAATTGACCGTAGAGTTGTCGTGATTCTAATAACCATTGAATAAGAATATGTTCAATGCGTGATTTAACTTCAGTTTCTTCATATTGACGAATTTTTTGTTTGATATAATTCGATGCTTCATCGAATTCTTGATGATGTTGCAATTGTAAATCACGTCTCTTCTTATCTCTGCTATCGATACTATTATTAATCGATAGTTTTCTTCGAGGTAAGATCTGAAATGATTAATAATTGGGATAAAAATTAGTCACAATTAGAAATGTGCGAGATCTAGTTCTTTTGATCCCGTTCCCAGTGATAATCCCAGTAAATCTGTTGTAGTTCTGGTCCTGATCTAGAGAAAATTATTCCAGAATCTATTCGTATCATATCTAAAAGAATTCTTCAATAATCATCTTTTTGATTTATTTAGTCGATGACTAGCACTTTTTTTTTGGATCATTTCTCTTGAAATTATATTCTAATTCATATGATTTATAAGATAATTTGCTGAAAACCATAGAATATTCTACTATAAACTTGAATTTCAGTTCTGGCGAAGTATTTTTTCGTGGTTCTGAAGTTCTGCGCATCTCTAGTCGCGATTCATTCCATATTATAAGAGAATATGAAAAACTATTAAATATCAATAGGATAGTTTAGAATTCAAAATGTTATGATTAAGGAAGAAAATAAACGTATAATAAAATGTAATCTTTCATACCATGCCTAATAATTTTTCATTTTCAATCTTTTTTCTATCGAATAATTTTTCAGCATATTTTTGTCTCCATATTGTTTGAATGATAAGACAACTATCTTCAAGATTATTATCATTAATTGACTTCATTTCTTTAATTTTTAATTCATTTTTCATTTGACGCATAAAATATGCATGTATACGACCTTGTCGAGCACGTTCATGTGCCTGAAGAACATGTATAACAGTAGCCAATGGAATTATATTAGTTTGATAATTTTTTAATGTTAATAAAGAATCAAATGAAGATTTTATAGAAAGATCATTTTTTGATTGTTCTAAACGATCAAGAATCATTCTTATAGTATGATTTCGTTGTTCTATTGATTTAAAACGATCTTCAGTAAAATAACGAGGAATTTCAATACATAAATCATCCTATTACAAACAAAGAAAACAATAATTAATCTCTCTTATCAGTTTCTTTAAGTTATTCTTTTTTTTTGTAATAATTTTTACTAATGTTTTATTTTGATCAAGTGCTAAATCTTCAAAATATGTATATTCACAACAATCAAATTTAATCATTTCTTGTTTTAATTCAATTAATCGTCCAACAATACCATCAAGTAAAATACGTATAATTAAACGTTTTTGTGGATGAATTAATGTTTGATAGATTTCATCGAGTTTTTTCATAATATCATTATATTTAATAAACAATCGACGTACATAATCATTAGCTTTACGTTTACTATCGAAACCTTTTGGACCAAATGTTTCTGATGTAAGCAAACGTGATAATTGAATTTGAGTATTAGTCCATAGAGTTTGTACATATTTTTGTGACATTGACTTTACATTAATTATGAAGAGCGCCATTAAATTAACATGATAAAATGTCTAGTTTTTATTTAATTGAAATGAATCTTTTTAGTGATAGAATTTTCAAGGTATTTCGTTGATGAATTAAGTGTAATTTTCACTTAATATTCTCTAATTCATTCTCATTGGATTGGTAGACAATAGAAAATTAGAAAAATCAGATGTTACGAAAAAAAAAATGAAGTTATACATCTGGTTTTCAAATGATGTCATACAATTTCTGTTTTCGAACGTTTAATTACTTTTTATATGATCTGTTCATTTCATTAAGATTACTTTTAAAATTTGTTTTATCAGTTTCTGGCAAAAATATCTTCCTGAAATACTATGATTGAATAGATATGAAAAACTTTCAATGAATTTCAATCTCAAAAAATATGTAGAACAACAAGAAACTTGCGATAGGTTTCTGCATAGAGTACGCTACTACAAGATTTTAATAGACAAGGTTTTGGTTAGCTATTTCTATCAACCAATCATTTTTTGTATTGTTGATTACTTACGCTTACTTACTATATATGTTCTGTTTACAATCATTTCTCTCATCATTAACATTTGTCTTCATTACTTTCAATTCAATTTTCCTTTAATTAAATAATAAAGCTACAAAAATAAAACATGATTCAATATAAACTTTTTTTTTCATATTTATATTAAGCAATGAGTTCTAATGAGGCGCCTGGTAATGAAAATGGCGATGATAAATCGTCGATGCCTTCTACTCCGACTACAACCGTTGAATACAATCGCACATTATCACAAGACTTACGTCATCTTGATGATGCTCTTACATATGCTATTGATCAATTGACAGTATTTAATAGTGAAATTATGTCTGATCTATCGCTCAAATATGAATTAATGCGTACTAATGAAGTAAGATTTAAATATATCTGTTTTTTTTTTGTTTTTGTTAAATAATTTTCATGTTAAATATTATAGAGTCGTGTCATTGGTTTTTTTGCTCGTCAACAATTAATGTTATCACAATTGCAAAAAGTCAACAATCAAAATGGTGAATTTCATAGTGAATATTCTAAACTTGATCGATTTTTATCTGTTATTAATCTCAATAAAAAATCAATTGAAGTAAATCAAATTTCTATTCTTATATATTTTTAGTAATTATTGATATACATATATATTTTTGTTTTATTTTAGTATATTGCACAACGTATGACATTCGATGATTTATTAAATGGAAAAGCTACTATACGTGAAAAACTCTTATACGATGCTGAAACCACAGAAGCAGAACGAAAAGATTTTCGTAATGCACTTAATGCATTAAAAGATTGCATTGGTATATATATATATAAATTTTTTTCTTTATATTAGTTTATTTTAAACTAAAATTTTTATTTTTATTTTCTATAGATTATTTTTCTCATGGTGGTACAAATGATAATGGACGTTTTTATTGGCATATTGAAACACCACCTCCAACAACGATTACACCTTATTCTATTCGTCAACATCGTTTGTCAGATACTGGTAAAATGTTGTTTTTTTTTTTCATCCAATATAACTATTTGATACAATATGTTTTCTTAATCATATAGCACTATCAGTACCACTCAATACAGATTCTGTACGATCAACATCTGTATCTTTATCTCTTTCGACTGAATTTGGAGCTGCCAAAAATAATAACAATCAAACAGTAATAACATCATTACCACCTGCACGACGGAATAATTGTAAGAAAATCATCATAGGAAAAGATACTTTATTATTATTATTATTATTATTATTATTATTATTATTATTATTCTTTTCTTTTGATCTAGTCACTCATGTACCGCCACCATCTCGTTTCAGTCATTTACATGTTAATGGTAAAGGAAAATGTGAACATCCAAGTAAAAAAAGTTCTGTTGATCCATCAATATTTGCAAAGTAAGAATAAAATAATTATTTCTATTTATTTCTATATTTTTCTTCAATTAGTGTTAATCCATCACGTAGTATAGATCTACAAATACCTGATAGTGGTGGTTCAGTATCTCGTCGAAGTTCATATGGTTCTGATACAGAAAATCAATTACAATCTGGTATGATATGATTCTTATTGTTTAGAGAAAAAATTAAAAAAGAAAGGATTTCATTAATTATCTTTTAGTTTTAAATGATTGGCTGTAGAGAGGTTCGAAGGAAAAATATCGAAACTAGAAGAATATTGAAAAAAAATTATTTCTTCAAGGTGGATGTTGGGTGCGAGTGAAGAGAAAACTAGAATCCACACTCCACATCTCTTATATAAAAAAAAAAGAATGTCATGTTAGTTGAAATTTTCGATATTTTTCCTTTGCACATCTTTCAGAATAATATTTCAAAGTATTAAAATTTTATTCGAATACTTTTGTTTTTGTTTTTTCTTTTTAAAGTTTTAATGAATATTGATTGCAAAAAAAAAAAATTTTCAATTACGTGTCTTTTTATTTTATTAATAAAATAATTTTCTTTCTATTAGAATTTGAGCATAGTCTTAAGAATGAAACACTCAATCTTTCTCATCAGTTGGCTATGCGTAAGATTGCTGTAGCTTCATATAAGAATTATTATCATTCAAATTCAATGCCATTACCAATAATCAAACAACAAACAAGATTAGATTCTATTGGACAAATTATCACTAGTAGTGTACAGTTGAATTTAGATAATAATATAAATGATGAAAATAAAATTATAACAAAACCTACAAAGAAACGTTTTTGGGATAGATCTATTTCTAAAGATGGTTAGCGCAATGATTTATGCTACTTGCTCGGATAAGGTTGACTTTAATATGCTTCTTTATGCTAATAATTGATTAACATAATTCTTGATATTTTTATCTTATTTTTATTTTATTTTAATCTAATTTTGATGTTATGAATAGGTACAGCAACACCTAAATCACCAACTATACGTTCACCACCTGTACCCGGTTCACCAATGGGTTCAGCATATAATAGTGATACTGAAAATGATTCAAAAACATCAAGTTAATCATGAAAAAATGTCGTTTTTTTTCTATTTTTAATTAATAAGTTTTTTTTTAAATAGGTCTTCCTATTTACAGTACCCATTCTCCTATTCTTGGACACCGAATGGCACATAAAATTCAACACAAGTTCGTATTGAAAATTATTTTATGTTGTGCTCGTACTCACGCTTTAGCTTGCTTCTTTCTCGTATACACACATATGTATATATCTAATGATATATATATATATATATATATTCATATAAGCACTCTATGTCATTCTATCAATTGATTTAATATTGTATTTCTTTATTTGGTCTAACTTTTTATTTAATCTTGATGATCTTCGCTGTTATTGTGTTGTTATTCAGTTTTGGTAATCATTTTAAATGTAATTGTTTGTAAATGACAACGACAACAATGTTGTTTCTTTGTTTTTTTCTCTCTATCTTATTCTCAGGTGGAGTAATCTGATGAAATTATCAACATGTAATGTATGTTCAAGAAGAATCTTCTTTCTCGGTATCAAATGCAATTTTTGCAAGTAAGATAATATTCAAAATGACTCAAAAATATTTTTTTTTAGTAAGAAATCGTGTATTATATTAAGAATTCATTTTTATTTTCTTACAAACTTCATTCATCTATCTTTATTAGTTTTTTTCTCTTTTTTTTCCCTTCTGTGCTTTCTATGCGCCTGCAAGCATTTTTCTGAATGAACAAAGCAACAACTCGAAAAATAAAATCGAAATCTTCTTCTTTCATATTATTCTTCTAGGTTTGACAGAACACGCGTATTCAAATTTTCCTTTTGTGACATCTGTAAGAGACAGGTGTTTCGAGGAAAAGCATGTCTTCATTGCAAGTAAGATACTCGAAAATGCACCTTGTCAACGAAAATTTTGAAAAAAAAAATGAAAAGAATTTAGCATGATGATAGAAAGGCATGATATTTTCCTTGATCGAAGACGATTGCTGTTTTCTTTTCTTAGTTTAGTTGAAAATTTTTCTTTTTTTTTTAATATGTGTGTGTATGTATATTTATTTTCTTTCAAAAAAAGGTACAAATGCCACAAAGAATGTGTTCCAAATGCTCCGGCTAATTGCGGTTTTAGTGAAGGAAAATTTCGACAAGTTATTGATAATACTGATATTCAAAATGCTTTTGGTAAATAATTATATATGATAATAATTTTCATTCTTTTTCTTTTATCGTTTAGTTAATTCCAGTCCATCACCACGAAAATATCATTTTACTCGTATGTTACTCTTTTGGTTATGTTATCTTAAATAGAAGTTTATTCTGAATTATTATTATTTTAGCGTCTGATAGTACAAGTCCAACACCATCGACTCCAGTGTCAGCTCCTGGATCACCTGCACCACATCCATTAATACCTGGTTATAATTTTAATTCTTCAACGTTAAATAACAGCCCATCGATATGTGTTAGTGAATCGATTTATTGTAGTAAGTCTTTTTCTTTTTAATAACATTACTAAATTGAATAATTCTAATAATAACTACATGATGTAAAAAAAAAAAACAACAACAAAAATATTAAATTGCTTTACAATTGCGAGCTTACATCGATTTGTGCTTGAATATTGTGTAAAATTGAAAAGAAATGTGTATGTCAGTAATATAGACTAATATTATTTTTTGAAACTAATAATTTAATACTTGGTGTTGTAATGTATAAATTAAACTAACCGAAGAAGAAAAAAAAAAATAAATGCACCATCTGTTCTTATTTTTACCTTTAGCTCAAAATGATCCTGATAGTTGGGTCGTCATAGAGACGAATACAAAAACTACACCAGGTGGGTCAAAAAAAAAATATTGTTTGGTGTCGGAAATAGAATTTGTATTTTATTGATGTTGTTCATCAAGAAAAAAAGAATCATATATGCATGTAGTTATAAAAAGCTTATTTATCTTGTGTTATGTTCAATTCATAAGAATTATTTATATTAATTAAAAACAAAAATGATATTTT